ATAAAATTTTGGAACCTTGGCGATGAAAATTGATTGTGGACCAGAGATTGAAGTTTGATTATATTAATCCTAGCGTGGAGATTAATGTCGTGATTTAAAATGAGAACTATATCGGAAAATCGGCGGACGAAATTTTTCCAAGTGCGGAAACCGTAAACATCCAGTGGTTGAACATACTTTGTTCCACCTTTTGGTATTATAAAAAGTTTTACATTTTTACCCTCGGGAGTAACTTCGTTCAGTGTCTTCTTTCAGTGACCATTCCAGGAATCAAGAATTAGAACTGTTGTGGGCCCAGTATTTGCGAAGTAAATCTCTCTTAACCAGGTCTTGAAATGGTCCGTAGTTAATTTTCCTGACTTTGAAGCTGCAATATATACATTGTCAGGGCGAAATAAATGTTGTTCCACAATCGGCCCGAAATGTCCTGTACTCTCTTTGAGTACAATAAATAATGGTGACAGTAATTGTCCATCAGCTGAAATGGTTGGCTGGATGGTGTAACTATGAGTGGTGGATGACACTGATTGAACCCCTCCTTCTACGATTTTTATACCTTCTTCAGCCAAAGTGCGCCCTGAATGTAATTCCAAATTAAAACCACTTTGATCGGAATTGTAAACATTGAGTGGTTCATTTCGGGCTCTATATAATTTTACTTCATTCACGAATGCGCTGCATTGCAAATGAATATCGTCTTCTCGATTTACCACATTTGTGGTTACAAATCTGGTAATTTTTCTGGACACTAATCTAAACGTCTTTTTAAAAGTATCTAGCCAAGTATGTCCGGCTTTAAATGTTTGTAAATTTTCTATATCTCTCTCTTGTAAAGCCCATCGCCGTAGATCTACTTCATGCACAATTACTCTTAACTGCCGAGCTTCCATAAATTTATTAAATGTATACTCTGCAATACGTTTTACCTTTTCCTCTTTTGTGCCACCCTGTTCAACTTGTAAAGCCCACTTACGAAGCATTCTTTCGGATTTCACGTGACGGAATTTGGAACGCACGGTGTCTAATTTTAATCGCTTCGACATACCGCTGTTCCAGTACGCCACAGCTTTCCTTTTATATTCGAATGGGATGTATTCCTTATTCGAATGACATACAACGTTTTCTTCGTACATGTTTGGAACATTCGGTGTCCTATTTTCCTCCTCTTCATCTAACCAGTTCAAATCAGCATCCTGAATTTCTTGTTCGATAGGCGTCCCGTCCATTTCAACACACGTTTCATGTTCAACCAGGAATGCTGTGTCTTCGACACTTCTTACAATTAAATCGAATAATACATCCCTTAAATATTCTTCTGCGATATTAATTGCTGTGGGTCCCTGATTCCACTCAACAAACGCAGCAGACAGTAAAGTTATTACATTAATAGCATTAATATTTACCATCTTTCTGAATACTCGCGTTTTATGATCGTTAACAACTGAACTGTATGGATGACCAACAATGTTCTACACGCTTATAAAAAGCTAATTGCAATATATATATATATATATATATACCTTATCAAACGTTATCATACGTTATCACGTTATCAAAATGTGCAAACTCCAGTACAATATACCCGTTTTATCATGTTTATTACAAAAATCGTCTCGGTTTTAAAGAATGTTAATAACAACAGAGATAAAGATGCACATATTAATCTCATTTGACAAGTATTTTTATTGTGCAGATTACACAGAATGCTTTCAGTGAAGATTTACATAACGTGCGCAAACTGCATGATAGGCGAGCCACAAAAATTACAATATTCATTTATTCAATTTGCATATTAAAGCAAGTATGTCATGAGAATAATAAGTGCATCTTTATCTGTATAATTGTATACTGTATACTGTATAATTTCGTGCAAGGCTACAATGCTTCATTAAAATGAAAGTTAGAACGGCTGCTACCATAGTGGATGTGCGCGTAAGATGTAAATCATCAAAATCTGCAAAACTGTAAGAGGCAATTTTAAAATGTTATATACTACTGGATTTGAGATTTTTCGCTTTTAAGTAAAGGAATAATTAATTTTCTTTCTGTTACCAAAGTTTTTCTCGTTTTCAGAATTTCTTCTATTTGATAAGTGTGCACCGACAGACAGTTTCCTCAGAATTGAATTGATATACCAAATATGGGACATAGAAGAAAAAGGAGGAAGCAAGTGAAAATGATAACGATTTTCTCTTGTCATTTTCCTGGTTAGGTTGCATATGTACGAGGGTAGTCCCAGAAGTACCCGACCTAACAAAGAAAACAATAAATTTGGGAAAAAGTATCTTTATTTCTCTACATAGTCTCCTTTTAGCTCGATACACTTTTCCCAGCGATGTTCAATAGCTTCAATACCCTGTTTATAGTAAGAATCGTCGAGCTCCTCAAAATAGCCATCAACCGCAGACTCCACCTCTTCATTGTTGGCAAATCTTTTACCACCGAGCCATTTTTTCAAGTTTGGAAACAGAAAATAATCCGAGGGGGCTAAATCTGGCGAATAGGGTGCGTGAAGAAGCAATTCGAACTTTAACTCATTGATTTTGGCCATCGCGATAACGGATGTGTGAACTGGTGCATTGTCTTGACGAAACAAAATTTTCTTTTTCGCCAAATGCGGCCGTTTTTTCTTGATTTCATCACTCAAACGCTGTAATAAGTTCGCATAATACTCGCCGTTGATTGTTCTTTCTTTCTGAAGAAAGAAAGTCTTCGCCTTCTTTGGAGCCGATTCTCCCCTTTCAGTCCATTGTTTTGACTGTTCCTTTGTCTCAGGTGTCAAGTGATGGACCCATGTTTCATCCATGGTTATGTATCGACGCAAAAACTCTGCTTTATTGCTGTGAAACTTCGCCAAACACTCGATTGAAACATCCTCACGACGCTGTTTTTGTTCGGCCGTGAGCAAACGCGGCACC